TCATAAGAATACTGTTAGAAAATACACCAGGGGCTGGGGATTTAGCTCAGTGGCACCGCACCTGCCTTGTAAGTGCAAGGTCCTGAGTTTGATGCCTGGTACCACAAAAAAACAAAAATATTAGTAGCAATTAACTTTATATTTTATGTAAGTATGTGAACTCTTGCAATTGGAAGAAACTTAACTATGGCAAAAGGTGCCCCAATCTTTATCAAGCAAGCCTATTTCCTTTTCTCCTCTAGAAACATAGTGGTGCTGTTTGCCTCCCTACAGGCTGATACGGCCATGTGCCAGAGTTTTGCAAAAGAAGTGGGAATGAAAGTGATTTCTGCCACCTCCAGGCCTGAGCCACCAAATATTTTCTCTGCAACCTATGTACCAGCTGGACTATGTAAGGTGAATGCAGAGACTTGCTGAAGGCAGAACCTCCCTGGGCTTGGGCCTCAGAATGACTGCACAGAGCTGAACCTCTCTCCATTCACACCTAACACCATGTGATCACAGAGTAAACTATCAATTGATGCTTTGAGATCTTGGCTTCATCTTTTGTTACTTTAATTCATAAGTATTACATGAGTTTTAAAACATTAAAAAGGCTGACACTTAACTACTTTAAAGCTGCCCCATAAAATTCTCTTTTTAGTCAATAGAAGAAAGACTACATTAATCTGAAAATGCTTATATACAGTAGTTAAGAAAATAAGATTTTATGGAAAACATGCACTTACAGAAATTTTTTAAAAATATGAAACAAAGAAAAAGAATAATTTAATGATCATTAGAACATTCACTGTCCAATCTAGAGTAAAACCTAAAATAATTTCAAACAAGTTTAAAAACCTAAATTTTAGCCAATAAAAATTCTGGGTTCATTTTGCTAAGAACCAAAGGCTCGCTCCAAGGTAGTAGTCCCGTTCTCTAGCGGGGCCACGACATTCAGCATTTAAGCTGTCCGTGTAATGCTGCGTTCTCTGATGCTGGCCCGACACTAGGGTGCTGACAGAGTAGAAACCAACATGGAGACACCCAGGAACCCGATAGGAAGATAAGGCAACAAAGAGCAGAGGGACTAGATGCCGACCCAAGAGGAGCAGAACCGACAGAGGATGAGGCCTCATTAAGACACGGCACACCAAGGCCTGAGCTCTGGAAAAGAAAGCGGTCACTCACGTTTCTGGCTTTCTCTAAGTACATTTTATATCTTTCTTCCATTGCTTTCATATCTTCATCTTTCTTATGAAGAGCAGCTTCAAGTTCACTGATCTTTTGTACTATTAGTAAAAGTAAAATGAAACATGATTATTACCTGTTTAAAATAACGCATCATCAAATGAAATGATACTTATTGAACCTGTTTTTCAAACAAGAGAATTTAAATGCAAAACTATTTCTTCTTTCTAGCGAATTATCTCAAACATTTGAACTACAAGCAATAGTTGTAGTTCAATTATTATCTATAGCCTACTTTACCTAGCTATTTTTCTATTAATCATTTCAATAAGCAAATAAACTTTCCAGTGTAAGCATAGCCATAGTAAGAAAACACAAGGCATTATTTTGAAGTTGTTTAATCTGATTTGAAATTATTCACATTCCCATAGTATTCATTCTATTACATCTTATAACATTTGATATTCCTATATAAAAATCAGTTCACTATTAGATTTACAATTTTTCTTTAAGTTTAGGTATCTTAACTCAGCACTGTAAGTTACTGTGGTTCTTAAATGCAATGTATCTACATATTGTGTAAAGATGACTTTTTTATACAGTTCTTGTATCTTTCAACCAGAGAAGGTAAATCCGTAATACAGTGTGACCCAAAGTTTTACAAATACCTACCATTTTGACTTATATCTGGCTGAAGGTCTTCAATGAGCTCTTGTTTCTTCTGTAACTCTTCATGGACCTCTGTTAGTTTTTCCCTAAGTAGTGGAAAAGAGTATGGACTTGGAGTCAAACAGACCTAAGGAAGCAAACTGGGCTCTGCCACCTACCATTTGTGGATCTGGACAAGTTACTTTCTCACCTTTAGTTTCCTCATCGGTGAATGGAAAGTGTACCTGCATAATATACCTGGCTGTCATGAGGAGGTATACAGCCCGGCACATGATGGATGGAAAATGTGTTAAAATTTCTTCCTTGTCAACCTCAACTTCCAGGAAGAAAAAGAGCTATTTTATAGGTTTAAGGCCCATAAACCTAGTTGTAATAGTTGTACCAGTAATTTTGATAAACTCTCCAAATGATATTAACAATTTTAAAATGTATGAGTTTGGGACGGTTGTCAGGCTGAGACTTTTAGCAGGTTTTTCTTTTTACTTTTTGGTGACAATGGTGCACATTCAATTATTATCAGGATATTTGCTTTTTTTCATCAAATCTGAAAAAGGAAATTAATTTCAGAAGTTTTTACAATCCCTCCCCTCTTCTATTTGAAATGCAATATCAGTTTTACTTACATATGAGCTTCCAACTTCTGCTTCAGTTTGCTGGACTATGAAATTAAAAACAGTTGCTGTAAAATTACTACCTTTACAAAGGTGAATTTTCCAGACATCTTTTTACCTCGTTTCAAAGGTAAAATTGTTAATGTTTTTAAATTTTGTGTTTCTAATTATATTTTAAAAGCATAAAACTCTTGGTATGATTTTTACATCAAAAAGGAAAGGAGGATAAGAAAGAAGAGTAAAATGACAGAAAGAAAAAGTACTTCTGAACACAATAAAAACTAAGTGAACTTGAAGAATAGCAAATGCCAGCTGACTGTGATATATTGAGGAGTTTCAAATACTTAAATTTTTAAAGGATCATTCATTCAAAATAACATTTTAAGATTTATCTTAATAAAATCTTATCATTAGTAATGCAAGCACTTTCCTGTAAACACTAAGGTGAAGCAACTAGATTTTGCTTTAAAAAATTAAAGCGTAAAATTTACTCTTTTAAAGAAAAGAACATTATATTGTCACAGTAGTTCTCTATCAATTAAATAGTTGCAGGGTTTAAAACACATCATTTGAAATATAACTTGGACACCAGTAAATAAAAAATAAAAGATAAAAAAATCAAAACATCCTTTCAGCACCCTAGCCCAATTTCCTCCCCCAAAGCCCATTTTCAAAGTATTCAATGACGTGGCTAAACATCTCATATTAGAGGAAATATGACACTGTATATATGCATATGAGAGATGAATGAGACAATTTCTATTTTCTGAACCCCCGGGGAAAAAAGATAAAATCATACTAAGTATATAAAAGGTAGAAAGCAAATACCTTCTGCTTCACTGTCTTTTCCATCTCCACTTACTCTAGATTTCCCTCCACTAGCTACACAGGCATAACCATCATCCTGTCTCAATCAATCTATGCTTCTCTGACATGTATCCAGCCCTACCTTCCTTCAGTGCATCTTTAATTAAATACATCCCTCTCTCAATAATATGTACTTTCCTCTCCACTTAGTGAGATTAAATTATAGAACTGGCAGCTATATTGAGGTGTAGGCTAAATTAGATCTCTTTTTAAGCCCTCTTATCTCTGTATCACACTAGGGATCATCAAAAGCCATCAGAAAATGGCTGATATAAATAAGCACATGTGGAAGTGGGGAAACAAGGTGACATCTTCAATATTGCACAGAGGCTCCTGTCATGTCAGTGTGCTTCACTTCTTGAACGATCTTTGGTTGAAACTTTTTTGTCAATTCTCTATTTTCCTATTGGAGGTTTACATAATTGTGATTGCTGATTTTTGTCATTTGGATTTTTTTCAAGCAGCACTGTCACAATCCCAGCAAGTTCTGCGGCCCTTAAGTGTGGCCTACTCTGAATCAAAACTCATGAACTTAGGTGCATCTGCTGAAGTGGGAGAGACAGAAATCACTTTACAATACATACTGTTAATGGCTCTAATTTGGCAAAAGCTCTGCATCTCTTATATACATATATATGGTATTTAACGGTGTCCGCAATGACAAAGGTAGCACTTTCAAGTGCAAGATTAATTGAGCTGTCAGGAACCATTAAGAGAATTCATACACAACAGAATTATTATAAGTTCTAAGTTACTCACACTTTCACCTTCAGACTTGGAGCCAAGTTCTTGCAAAGACTTTTGGAGGTCTTCAATCTGCTGCTGCAGTTCTCGGATTTGCTCTTTGCTGAGCCTATTTTAATATGACTCATAGGTATTTATTTGTATTTAAAGTCAAAGCTAAAAATCTATAAGCTATATTCATGTAATTTAATCACATACACACACAGGCATATATACATATGCATCTATAGATTTCCAATTACAAATGTATACCAAATATCTGTGACTAATTATAATATGTAGAATTTAGATTACTTCCTAATGAAATATTTTAAAAAGGGACATTTTTTCCCCCTGAAAACATATATATTCAACATTTTTTGTTTGTTTGTTTTGGTACCAGGGATCGGACTCAGGACCTTTTGCTTGCAAGGCAGGCATGGTGCCACTGAAATAAATCCCCGGCCCCACACTCACATTTTAAAATTCAAGACACAGGAATACATGTCCATGTAAAAACAACATTTCTGCACTATAACTCCCTGGTAGAAAAATTAGAAAAGTAGTTCCATTTTCCGACAGTTGCAATGAATGGAAACTAGGTTTCCTTTTTCTGTTTCAGATTTCACAATGTTGGGAGGAAAGACAGTACACCATTTCCCAATGATGAATTTGTGACTGCAGATTTTAATTAAATAGATTGGCTCCAGCAGCTAGGCCATAATTTAACTTGACAAAATCCCACACTTTAAAACTCTTCTTAAAAGTTATCACTATTAGAAGCTACAACCAAGGGCTGGGGATTTAGCTCAGCGGTTCGGTGGCCTGCCTTGCAAGCGCAAGGACCCGGGTTCGATCCCCAGTACCAAAAAAAAAAAAAAAAAAAAAAAAAATAAAACAGAGTTAGTACCTCTCCTCCTTTATACACATAGGCACACACAGCTCTCCATACATAAGACACAAATTCCTGCCCGATATAATTCTCCACTGTTTCTATGATCATTAATATGATAATTATTTATTCATATCTAACATATTATTCTCTAAAAGCTTAAATTTAGAAAATCTAGTGTTAACAAGACAGCAACAGTTAATTCTCTCTTCAGAAGTTAAAATGTTACTCCTCTTTTAGTACCATTTATGTACTAGTAGTATGCATATAAATTCTGGAAAATGCTTTAAGTGCCTGCAAAATTCCTAGTGCGCCTGTAAGATCAAAGAAGATGAAGGCTGAATAAATAAATGCAAATACCTTCATAGTAAGTGTGCCATTTATAAAAGGCAGCTTAGCACTGTGGTAAGAGTAGAGACTCAAAGTCTCAGGGTGACAGAACATTTGAATATGAAATTCAGTACTTTCTAGCTGTGTAACTATGGGTAAATTAACTTCTCTGCATCTCAGCCTTTTTTTTTTTTTTTTTTTTTTTTTTTTTTTTTTTTTT